GTAGGCCCTCCTCTTTGTCTTTTGGACTGCTCCCTTTTCTTTCTGTGAAGCTTATTTTCTTTAGAAACGTCCCCCAATCTGCTTTTGTGTTGGTATTTCACGGACGTACCCCCAAGTAGGTGAGAGGTAGAGCGATGATGAGGAGACCCTGTGGTTCCCAGCAGAGCCCCGGGGACCTGACCACTCCCCCTTTCCTTTCCCACTGCCTGGCGGGGCTGCTGCCCCTCTGGCTGTGGGAAGGGGGAACTGGAGAATCCAAAGAACATGGCAGCAAGGGACACGTACGGTGTGTTTGCTTTCTGGAGAAGAGGTCCCTGCCCCAATAGACCCATTTCACATTTAGGTTCCGGCCTGTCAGTTGAGCCGAAAAGACACAGTGCGTGCTGGTAGCTGCGAGCGTTGTTGCCTGGGAAAGTCTAGAAATCTTGATGGCGGAGCGGTTCTCTGGTCTCCAACGTGAATCAGCACTTATTTCCTTTATGGGAGAAATGGCGTGAGAATTTCCTAAGTGCGTTTTCTAAAAGATCCATCAGCGATTTTTGGTTTGTTTTTGTTTCTATGATTGTGTTTTGGGAGGAGGAGCCTGTGTGTTTATTTTGCATATGGGTCGTCGCTTCACAAGCCTGTTGCTCTGTGCTACTCTGTACACACTCACGTATCTGCAGCACACACATTCTAGATACACGCGAAGCCGTAGAGACAATTCCCAGAAAGCAGAAATCTCTGCAACAGTAAAAGATATGTGGCTGTAAGGCATTTCTTTACTGGCAAATGTGGTGCCTCAGCAAACATCTTTCACTGCAACATGATGACTCTCTATGAGAAAACACGAACGCATCTCCCGGTACTCACAAAGGCATTTTGCTGAGCCCTGCTGGCCGTGGCAACAGTAGTCGGAGGTGGGAACGAGGCTAGAATCCCTCAGGCTGAGCCCCCGGTGAGGAGAGTCGATAGGCCATGGCCTGACAAAGTTGCTCCTTTTCTTTCAGCATCTTGAGGATAGGAATGTTCTCTCCCTCATCTGCAAGTGCAGAGGCCTTACGTTAATAGCCTTGCTTTCCTCATGTAGCTGGGTTCCCAGAAACACCCACGGGGCTCTCAGCTTCAGAGGAGAGAGGGGCAGCTTGGTCTGGCCCTGCCGTTGAAGGGTCTGACTGCCACTGCCCACAGGGCCTGCCATTCCTTTTGGGCCTTTCTCCAGCTGTTCTTAACCCTGCAGCTCCATTGTGATGGCTTAGAGAGAACGGAGTGGGAAAGCGTATCAGCGCGGAAGTCCCAGTTTTTGCCTTGAAAGTTTGTGTGGTTATACTTTGCTGTCCAAGACCAATGGAGATTGCTTGCCCAGTGTGCTGTAAACAGAGTCCGTTCCTTGGGCTGAGCGCAGTGGGAGTGGGGATCCGTACACTGCCTCACAGTTTTAAAAGCTCTGCGGTAACAGAGCACTGGTTTATGTATTGACAAAACACTAAGAGGTTTCTCCTCAAGCTGAAGAATATGACCATGGCTAAGTGTCTTTAAAAATCTTGAGAACTTCATCCCCCCCTTCTGATAAATGTATTGCTCTAATCTTTAAGCAAAGAGAATTTGACCATGTGTTAGCGAGCTCTTTATAGTTTATTAAAACAAATATTGGTTTAGTTGCATATGCGTCAAGGTTCGTAAAGAATTGCCGAAAATTCACGGGAGAGTTCCGCATTTTCGCTGTGAAGCACATTTGAGAGAGCAAGTCTTTACAGCGCACGTTAGGGTTTTGAGTGTCACTTAAACCTTACCTGGTCGGAATGTAATCCCTCGCTCATGGTGCAAGGACCAGAATGACACAAACAGGGGACGGCTGGCATCAAGAGATACCCAACAAGCTGCTCCATTTAGCATCATCTAAATCCTCCTTTAATATGATTAACATCTGATAGTTCTCTCTCTCTGAATCATCTCCACTTCCAGCCAGGCCACCTCGTCTTTATCTGTAGAGTCTATTTTAAGACCGCTTCAGTGCAAGGAGTATGGGGCCCGGGGAGCAATTTTGTCACTTCTCATGTGACTTCAGACAAGTTATTGGTCTATTTTGGGTCTTATTCTTCCTTCGGTAAAACTGGGCTCTTTCTGGAACTGTGGTGACAAAGAAGCAGGGCCCTGGATTCTGCCCTGCCCCCCTCCACCCACAGGCGTACACGGGTAAATGCACGAACACACACCTGCCGCCACATAGGATCCTAACGTCACCCTGTAGTTTTTAATTTAGACCCCCAGTCTTGGCACATTTACTCACAAAAGCTTCAGATAAGATGGTCCTTTCTTTTCTGTGCCTGTGTGCATGGAGGTCAGTGCTTAGTGAGATGCTTAAAAAGCCCCGGCTCTTATCGCCAGAGCTTTACCAGTGTGGGCCGTGGCCGGGAGCCAGAGGTGGACCCGGCACCGCGAGCGAATGCCTCGACTGATAGGGTGTGCACTGTGTGACTTTGGCCTTGAAATTTCTCCTCTTAAGTCGAGTGAAATGACTCTGTAGTCTAATGTGAGCAAGGGAGGAGGGTGGCAAAGTAGAAAACTGTACATCGTGTTTCTTTCTTAATTTTTAAGCGTGGCAGAGGGACTCTGAAATTATGTCATCTTCATGGTGCCCAAAGATCTGGTCCATTCGAAGGAATATATTAACCTAACTGAGCATTAGTGGGCCCAACAATAAAACATCTTATTGATTGCATTTTAAACTTCTCAACCGGTTGTTAGTAACAGTAATAAAATAGCTCACATTTATTGACTATTTACTATGCCCTGGGCACTCATCTAAGTGTTTTCACCAATATTAACTTATTTAGTGTGAACAGTAATAATAATAGGGGTATGCATACAAGAAGAGCTTCCGTTTACCGAAAGATTTGTACTGTTTTTAAGTGATTCTAAATAGGAAGGGACAGACAGGTAGAGGCAGGGAGGGAGAGGTGGGTATGAGATGAGAGAAAAGAAGGCTGCTTTCCCTCTTCGCTGGACTTCTTCTTCCTTCTTTCTCGCCTCGGTCTCTCACCTTTTTTCAGCCTTCTGCTCCATCTCTGCCTCCGTCTGAAGCTTGCTGGTGGCCCCTCGCAAGTCCCTCTGCAGCCCCCGCTGCTGATGGCTCCCAGAGCAGATGGGGAAGGTTCATCACTAGCGAAGAGGGAGTGGCTTGACTCTCTCTCCCCCTCCCCTTCTAGGCCCTGCATGTCCTGGCCTTTATGAGCCAGGACCTTCTGAGTGACAAGCAGAGCGGTTCTGCCTTTTGTATCAATTTACACAATTGCCAGGATTCTTGGCACGGCACTCAGACCTAGGGTGGTGAGAGCTTGAGAAGACCCAGGGGACGTGGAAGAAGACCCTGAAGGGGGGAGGGGGACAGGAACTGCACTTTTAGTTTGTGATAAAGCCAAGGAGAGTTGGCTACGTCACTCGGACTGGGGCATCTGGCTCCGGGGCGTGAGTCTGCGGAGGTGTGCGGGGCGTGTCCGGTTACAGGCTGCACTTCTCACTCCTGCTCCGTCCATTGGAGGAGATTGGCAGCAACCAGTTCACCTTTCCAGGTGTTATGGCATATATTCCCATGTTTCATTTTCACTTCCCATTGAAGGGCTTCCAAAAACAATTTTTTTTTATGGGAAGGGAAAGGGGGCTTGGGATTCTGTCCCAGTTTTTAAATCATCCTGATACTTTTGACTTGAGGGGCACACGAGTTGGATTTTATTGCTGTTTTGTTGCTCTCCCAACTGGGGTGGGGGAGAAGGCAGTGATCACTGTCAATTCCCGAGGCTGGTTTACAGGTTTTGGCAAAGGACCCAACTAAGCCACCAAACTGCGTTAAGGGGCCAAAAGACCTACCACCCCAGTCGGACTCCGTGCCCTAGGCTGGCCACGTGATGTGGTGCAGCTGAGAAAGGCAGAAGGTGGGGAGGCTGGAGATGGTCTTGTGTGAGAGTTGACTGACGCCTTCATCCAGACTGATACTTCTGTCTTTAGGCGCGTGCGAGTTGTTGTTTTGGCTTTTTTGTCTCGCTCACAGCGGTGGCAGGAGAGGTAATGCTCAGTGTCCCAGGCTGCGTGGGGTGCTCCTTTGCATCCTCGAGCACCATGCGGTAGCTCCTCCGCCCAGTGTGGCCAGCCAAGCATCCTGCCCAGGCCTGCCAGTGGCTACCCATTTATCTGTAGGCAGCGTAGCGTCCCAAGTCCCAGACAGAGCGGTTAAGCTCCCTTGCCCTCACTAAAGACCCAGGTTTGGGGATGGAAGGTCTAGAAATAAATAGAATGGGGGAATTTGATTATCGATTAGCCAGTTTATAAATGCCACTTCCTAAGATTCTAACCCCTCCCTGGCCGATGAACCATCGTCCAGCCTGGGGTTTGGCTTTTTTAGGTGTCACATGACAGTCAGAAGAGCACGTGTGCGGACCTCTTGCTGTAGTTTCTGACCTTCTTCGTAGTGCGAGAAAATAAAGCAGCACCCCTCATACCCCCAACTCCCCACACCCAAACACATTATCCCTAAATACAGACACTGAATCCCTGAAAAGGTTCTCTCCACCCTGCCTACCCCCGTGCCAGCCCGCTCCCTCCCTCGACACAACACACGTGCGAGAAGATTTAGTACATCTGGAAGTCTTTCATTCACATCACCGTCGCTTTAAAGAAAAATGAGGACAGGTGGATTTAGGAAGCACTTCCCTCTGCTGCAAATAGATGCTTAAATATGAGGATCATTTGGAACACTGGCACGTGAGTGCAAACCTTCCACTGCTCTCGCAGCCTTTTGGCCTCCAAGCCGCTGAGCTGTTTAAATGATCGCGCAACACACTCTTCTTGGTGGGTGGCGGGGAGGCAAAGAAACCCTCACCGTTCCTTTCCTTGCCAGCCCCACCACTGACAAGCCAAATTGATCTCTTAAGAGATGAAATGAATGTTCTCCAAATATATGCACACACATGGCTGTCTGGGAGCAGGTTCCTGGTACAGAGCAGTTGCCCGCAAGGTGGGGAGAG